TAGAATCCTCAGGTTCTGTTTTCTCATCTCATTCATTGTTGAATGCTTCCTCATCGTCTCCAATATTTCATTTTTGACAACTCATTAAAAATGGGCCAAATCCCAGAAAATATGATTCTGTCATGTTGTATAATATATAGTGTGGCCCATATGCAAAAGAAAATAGTTACTTAATGGTTTAGAATAATTCATTAGAATTTTTTTTTTTTTAGGTATCAGTAGCTGTTGAAAAGTGACTATGAAAAATCCATGGATTAAATACAGCTCTGTTAAACATTTAAAATAAGCGGTACTTATGGGAAAAGTGATTGGAGCTTAAGCTTGTATAAATTGACAGCCTCTCTTCACTCCATTTTTCATCCTAAAGAAGTCTGCAAATATTCTTAACACACATCATTATTGCTCATCAGTGGTTCTAATTAGCTAAACTGGAGTTTGTCTCAGTCATTGATCATCATCAACTCTTTGACAGTGCATGCATCTATTTTTTCTGATTTGGGTAAACACTTTTTAATGTGTGATAGGCATGCATAGCGTATATTAATTGAAACAACCACAATTTTCCAACAATGCAATTTACCTTTAAAACCAATCTTTAAATCTGCTTTACCCCCTCTTTTTCTGTTTATCATACTTAAAATGAAGCTGTGGGTTCAATGGTATTTTAGAAGCTTGAAGCACAGAACAATATTATTTTGCATCCCTTTTGGGAGCCCCCCTATAATGAGTGTTGGAAGTTATCCTACGGCCACCAGGAGGAGATGCTGATAAAATTCTGTACCAGATTTTAATTTATGCTAAAGGCCTTTGTTCACATTCTCTATATGCAAATTTGGTGGTAAGATTTAGATGGCTATTATGTGTTATAGTGTTAACTGATTCCATTTTCCATGTGCATTTAGGATTTGTTTTACATCTGTTACCTGCAATATAAAAGAAAAATTACGTTGAGTTCATCCAAAACTAAATAAATCTCCCTTCTTTAAACAGAATCCAAGTAAAAAAAAAAATTTCTTAAAATTCTAATTATGTAACATGTGAGGGAAGTTTTAAAGATGCTATAAATAACTCAAATAGAAAATTTAACCCTGTTTATTATATGATTAATGTTATAATTACTGTACTTTGGATATTAACACAGTATACATTCTTTCACTCAACTTTAATCTTTAATTGGATTAACTCACACTAGAAATTTCAGCATTATAAAGATGGGAAAATATGGGCTAGAGACATGCTAGCAAATACCTCTTTTTTCTCACTTGAATAGGGTATCTTAGTAGTACTAAAATGGACTTGTCAATTAAGGAATTTACTGCCACAAATGCTTATCATGTGGATTTTAAAGCATTAAATGTTGCTGTAACAGATTTACCTGTAGTTTTTTGCCACAATATCCATTTTTAAGAGGATGTATCTTGATATTTGATACTAGAATAGAATAGAATAGAATAGAATAGAATAGAATTCTTTATTGGCCAAGTGTGGTTGGACATACAAGGAATTTGTCTTGGTGCAAATAATCTCAGTATACATAAAAGAAAAGATACATTCGTCAAGAATCATAAGGTACAACACTCAATGATAGTGATAGGGTACAATAAGCAATCAAATCATACTAGGAAACAGTCAATATAAATCGTAGGGATAGAAGTGACAAAGAGAGATAGAGAAAACTTTCCCCACACTGTTTTCTTTTTGGTTTCGTGTCCCAGTATCATGGGTATAAGTGTAAAATTGGGCTTGAAAAGAAAAAGAAACCCACAGTGATTAAGTCTTTGGATCAGTCTTTTTTGGGGGGGAGGGGAGGGAGGCTCAGTAATGCTCCAGGCTCTGCATTTTTTTATTCCAGAGACTAGTAACAAGGATAACTTCTAGTTAAACTTCACTTCCATGAAGTCAAATGATTCAAATCAAGCTCATAGCCATCATGCAGCCTTTATGGAGATAACATTTGCATGAGCCTCATTCTTTACTGCTTTCATAGGTAATTAATTTATAACCAAAGAGCTGTCTTTCTGAGCAGTGGAATAAAAAATCCATTTGTGAATTAGTATTTTTTCTGGAATATAAATATTCTGTAAAAGAAAAAAATATTTGAAAGACTTAAAAACTTTTGTAAAAACAGTTTAAAACAGATAAAGGGGACAGTTTAAAAGAAGAAAGTTTAAAACAGATAAAGGGGACAGTTATTTTGAAAAAAAAAATACATTGTGAAAGTGCTTTGGAATTTAATTAGACAAACAAACCCTGGGAAGTTCCTTAGGAACTCAGTGGGATTGTAGAAGATAACACTAGGAGTCAACGTATGACAGTTCACACACAGTTCAAGTGTAGCATACACCAATATGATGCACTTTCCACGCTGATATCCTGCATCGGCTTGAACCCCTTAGCCAGGTAGGACTGGATACAGATACAAGTTCAAGAGTAGAACTACCATCAGCCACCTTCTCTACATGGATGTATACTGTATACTAAAATGAACAAGACATTGACTTGCTGATCCACCTGACATGGATTTACAGTAAGGGCATTGGGATATCATTTGGACTGGATATATTTGTCTGAATGATACTCAAGAGTGGTAAGCTATTTAGGACCCATGAGTGAAACTACCAAAAGGTCCCATAGCAGACATACAGACTGGCTATAAGTACTTTGAAATTCACATGGGAAACCATGGGGGCAATCACATGGGAACCATAATGATGAGGCAAGTCACCAGATACCTTGACAGTACAATGAGCTGGCCAAAGTCATAAGATACTCAGAGAGCACAGTGAGCTGCCAAAAGAGGAAAATGAAGACTGCCAATGTGAAGATTCAGAAGCTCCTCACAATGTACAGAGCTTTCTACCCCAAGTTTGCACACAAGCTAAAAAGACAGTGGGCAGGGTCCAATGAGCGTCAGAGTCATTGTCCTGTATGAAACTCAGATTATCCAGGAGTACTTCAGTAAGAGGGCATCCACTGATGAACTGCTGAGAGAATGCCTAAGGCAACAATAGACGTGGGAGGAAGATCAAGCAGAGGAAGTGCCATGGCAATACAAGTCCCTGCATGCAATGTATCATTCAAATATAACCCAATGTGGCTAATAATTGGGAAAACTTATCTGTGACTTGAAAAGACTGGATAAAAGACAGGACTGAGGCACAGCACAAGAAGACGCACTAAGCACCAGAGTCATAAAAGCAGGAGTTTACCTCAGATGGACTGGACCCAAAGTGAGACTGTCCATAGAGACCTCAGAGTCAGTCCAACGTATAATGGCAGGTTATAAGATGCAGGCAGGAACAGCATACACTAAGCAGCATAACCAAATAGGCTGGCATTTTGTACAGGAACATCTGCACAGTGTATGGCTAGATCTTCCCAAGTCCAGATTGTATGGAACATCAAGATTCAGATAGATTGTGGTTAACGATGCAGACATTGTTTCAGTAGACAAGGAACAGAAGACAGTGGTCCTGATAGAGTTACCATTTCCAAGTGACGACAACAACATAAGGAAGAAGGAGTGTGAGAAGTTGGAGAAGTACCAGGACCTGAAAGAGCAACTAGAAAGTCAGAAAAGTAAAGGCCAAAGTGGTCCCAGTGGTGGTAAGAGCATTTAGGACTGTCGTTCCTGTGCTGCAACAGTGACTCCAACATATCCTAGGAACATCATAGCTCCCTATCCAGAAGAGTGCAGTGCTAAGAACTGCTAAGATACTGTGCAGAATCCTCAAACTTCCATGTCTCTGATAGAAGACCTGAGATAGAAGAAGACACATACAACCCATAGAGATGAAAAGGGAATTTAGAAAGAGAGAATGTTATATATGTAATATTTATACATATTGAAGGCTAAATTTTGTACCAACCTGCAATCATTCAAAAGTCTCGAATTCCGATTGGTGTGTCCAATAAATAGACATGCTTGGCATTATTCTTTAGTAACATCTAGGAAATTACAAGTTTATTTCTTGTGTTTTATAACTTGGTATGTTGATGTTTCAACAAATAAATTGTTTTGGGTTCTTACACTTTCAGTTATGGTTTTTGTAGCTCAGTTGTGGTTTTTGGTTGATTGGGGAAGATTTGTGTAATCCCAGTATAAGGAACTATTTTCCAGTTCTCCTCAGACGCTGTTGCCAGTATTTCTTACTGATGTCCTTTTTCACAGAGTGTCCTGGTTATCACAGGTATTTTTTCTAGGTGAGAAGTGATGATTTTATATGCAATTAGGCCAGGAAAAGTTGATGGAGTATGAATAAATGTATTTAGAAAATGTTAAATCCTAGATATTGTATGCAAACAAGATAATAATTAAAACAATCCAGCAGTATACAATTGTATAATGTTAATAATACTAAATTTTCTGATTTGTGCAGGAATGTAACAATATAAACAATGTAGCAAACCTGATAAATGTTGCTTTGTAATTAGCACTATTTGTTTTTCCTTTCTACTGCTGCATTTATTTATTTATTTTAGTATAAATTATGCCATACTGGTTTTTATTTTTGCCACATCTGGAACTGATATACAGAGTAAGAATCATTTGGGAACAGAATCTCCCTCCCCAGTTTCTTAACAGTTGTTGACAGCATATCTTTCCAGTATACCAAAGAGAAAATAATGATGTTTGTTAATATCTTACTATATTGCCAATATGAAAATAGGATTCCTTTGATATCAATAATGTAAAAGCAGGAAGGGAAGGATTCTTCAGAAATACTTCATCTGGAAGATATTCCATGTATCTTGTAAGTAAGTATATCTAGTTTTGCTTTCATAAACATTACATCATTTAGAATAAAGTTGTCTTCGTTGTTTGCAGATAAAATGTGCTGTCACTTGCCATATGTTCCATGATTAATTCTGCAAGGCTGTCAGCCACAGATAATTTAATTTTCCATGCTCTAAAATGACATTCATTATTGGGACATGAAAAATTCAAATGATTAGCAGCAAATTATGACTAATAAGTGTCAATATATTTTTGTTTTTAGAGAAAAGCAGAAGGCTGAACTCAAGGACAGGAAGGTTTTAGAGATTTTGCAAGTTAAAGACAACAAAATTCAGACACTGGAGCAGGTTAGTGTTTTATTTAAACTAAAGGTTATAACGTTGCTCTAATTTCCTTGAAGCTGTACTACATACATTCTGTTTTCTAATATGTATATAGCTGATTGAGAGCTCAGTTTTCTGAGTATTATTAGCTACTGTTCCTAATTTGCCAGAATCAAAAAGGAGCATGGAGGGATTTGGTTTCATGATATTACAATTTTATCTTTTATTATTTCTTCAGTAAGATCTGATTTGCTAGTAAACTGACCAAATTTATCCAGTTAAGATATAAGTTATTTTCTGTAGTCAATTACTTAATTGGCCTAATTCTACAAGATGATAAACATTTGTGTTAATCTTGGAGCTATCAGGCTTTTTTTCTTTTTACCTCCTATTCTATTACTACTTTCATCTGAACAAATGCTTAAATCGCCAGCTTTTTTTCCAGCAGGTACAAGCAGAAGAAAACTTTATCTGTGCAATAAGAGAAAAAAAATTGAATATAGCCAAATCTAATTTATACTGTTCATCTTATCTTTTTTGCCCTGGCAAATGTATCTTCCTTTTACTGCATTTATATACAACTTCATACTTAGGTTGTATACACGGGTAGAAATACATTCTGATACGGAATCATTTTTGCCTTTTTTAGCAAAAAAAATGATACATCATATGATTTTATCCATCACTTTTCTCCCAGCATTTGCATATCTTAAAAAATCACTTATTTTTCATTTTTTGGAAAACACATTCTACCAAGGCACACCAATCTATCAGGTTTATTATTTCTTGCCACAGTTTTTCTTGTCACAACGTTTCTTGCCACAGTTTTTAAGTGAATCATTGCAGTTGTTGAGTTAGCAACATAGTTGTTAAGTAAATCTGGCTTGCCCAATGACTTCGCTTGTCTGAAGGTTGCAAAAGTGAATCACATGACCATCAGAAATATGAGTCAGTTGCCAAGCATCTGAATTTTAATCACATGTCTATGGGGATGCTGCAACATGAAAAATGGATATAAGTCATTTTTTTCAGTGCCATTATAACTTGAAATGATCACTAAACGAATGGTTGTAGGCCGAGGACTACCTGTATCTAATATTCATTGTAAATCAGTTGGATACACAGCATCCATCAACTGTTAACGAAGGCTGAGGAAATTATGATTAACATTATTTTGAATTTTGAAAATGTTCTAAAAGTCTAGATAATTGCAGTAGGGGAATGGTTTTTTCAAAAATCTTTTTCACTAGGACTTAGGGTGGCCCTTAGTCAAGTCTCAAAGGCTAAATATTCTTTATTTCTCTGTCTAGGAGAGTAAATTGAATGTAATTTCAGCCCTCAAACCACCACCCTCTGTTTAGTTTGGGCATGTAGATATTAATTGTACTTATTTTATAATCCTGTTATGATCTGTACCAAGGTAAATCTTGATCCAGTTATTTATACCATTTTTTTTAAAAAAATGTAGCAGACTATTGACATCTTGTGGTATAACCAGAGCATTTTACTTTAATTTCATTTCATATTTTTCTTTTTTCATATACCAGGTTTGTATTATAGTATCTAGACAATTACTTACTTCACACATTTTAAATATTTAATTTAAAAAGAGGGAAGTATTTTTTTTATTTTTCCAATACCTTTTTATTGTGTTTGTCTCTCAAAAATGGGATGAAGGACTGAACCACTATCTTATATGGCCAGGAATTGGCATTATATAAATTGCCAGGCAAGAAAGATAGGCGTAAGAGCCCCATGTCTCTTATATATCAGGGTTATGGGGTGGATACCAGGGGAATGGGATGATGGAAAATGACAGCAATTACGGACAATTTTCTCTCTAATATCATGGGGCATGCAAGAGTGAGGAATCAAGTTTCAAGGAGGGGTGATTTGAGGCCTTGATTCTTTCCTATGGTGGGCTCTCAGCCTTCTTTTCGCTTGTTAATAATTATTGTGATAATTTCTTCTATCTTTTTTAACTCAGGAGACTAGAGATTGGATTAAGCTTTTCCCCTTTCCTCACACCTTAATCTACCTATAACATATATTAGGGGAAAATGGGTCTGTAAATGATGTTAATCAAATACAAAGAAGAGCAAAGTTATTACAATAGCTTCAATCTCCAGCCATACAATTGACAATGAACATACTGAAGTAGAAAACAGCTTCTGCTTTTTAGTTTCAAATAGTAAAGGAACTAATAGTCAAGAAATACATCGCACTAGGATAAATTTTAACACCAAAAAAAAAGATGAAGACCTTGGAAAAAATATTCAGATGCTGTATGTATTTATGCCAACAAAGATCAGAATTGTGCAGCAATGCTTTTCCTTTTAACATCCTATAGAAATAGAAATTGGATTTTGAGAAAGTAAGCTAGAACATTGACTCTTTTGAACTTTGGTTTTGGAGAAGACTCTTGAGAATATCAAGCCAAAAATATTGTTCTGACCCAACCCTGTTAACCAGCAAGAAAATCTCAAACAAACGCAGCAACTCAAACCTTCACAGCTTTAATCTACAAATAAACTTCTTTGTAGATAAAAGATGGCTTGCAGCCAATTAGTCCAACCAGAAAAGCCTTGACAGAATTCTTCAGATAACCTGGAGTCTCTACACACAATGCTGCATCCTTAGAATGTTTTTGCTTTCTGCAAAAGCAAAAACCTTTTGAAACCAGGCTTATATTCCTGGAGGGAGGGGCCATTACATTGCATCCTTACTCCCGAATTGCCTGTGCTGCTCCAGCTGTTCTCTTCTATGAATTATCCTGCGCTCACGCGCACTTGGCACAGGCTCCTCGGGAACCTCCTCATCACTGCTGCCAGCCCCCACAATCCCTGGAGGCAGCAATCCACTCCCCGATGGTCCTGGCCCCTCATCAGAGTCATCGCTCTCCTCAGCCATCTGCACCTGCTGCTGGCTAACCACAACAAATATAGACAAATGGATCAAAGAACAAATCATTTCAGAGTTTTCATTACTAAAGAAAATGACACATTCAAATTATCATTTTTTTCAACATGTATAAAGACATAGCTATCTTAAGTAGTCTGTAGTGCTAGGAAAGGTAGAAAAAGAAAGAAAAAGAAGACAGCCAGTAGCATGGTACATAGACTAAATTGCAGTTGGTAGATACAGTGTTGAAGGATCAAGTTAGCAGATCCTCCTGGAGAAAATCTATATATGTGGGTGCTTATAGTTGATACCAACATAATGGCAATCATCAAATTGCCTTTTTGTTGACATCCACAACAAACTGAAATGATGCCAAAACTACAGCTCATGCACAGTGATGTTCATCATGTTAATGCCATCATGTTTTGCATCTTGATACCAGTGGCAAGTGATTCATGATATTTGTATGATGGCATTGTCAAACGTGTCACTATTTGCTTGCCTGTTATCTCATCTTGTGGACACCGATCGCCTTTTATTTTAACAGAATAACAGAGTTAGAAGGCTCCTATGATTATAAGATCATAGTTGCCTTTTTTGAAATTATAATTGGGAATTTTGTCATTGTGATGATTTTTGTGTGGACGTATGTTAGGACAAAAGTCAATCATGTTGTGGTCACTGTTGGAAAAGGGTTCTTTAATTTGTATTCCGTAAATTGAATTCAAACTATTGCAGAAGATGAGATCAGGCGGTCAGTAATTATGTTTTCAGATATGCTTTTAAATAACTTTAAACATATATGTAACAAGTTGAATCTGCAACTATGGATTGGTGGGGCATTAGGAACAGTGTTATATTAGTGTTACTGTACAGGCTAGAAATGAACAGAGGAATTGACAGGAATTGCCTACCTAACTTTATTTGAATGGAATGAGATTTGGGATTCAGTCCAACATGTAAATGTTATGTGAGAGTTATGTTGATTTATCAATCTGGGTTGGTGGAGAGCTGATTTATGCCTCACTATTGGGATTTTAAGGGGTTTCCCCTCCTTCGTTTTCTTGTTCTCAGTCAGTTATTCCTAGAAGATCATTGTCAGGATGGGAATACATGTTTGGAGCAGTATTTCTCTTTCTTGATTTGCATAAAGACCCAAAGAGCTTTATGATAGCAGCTTTAGATTATTCATAAACAATTACCAGGTAGTCTATGCACATAGACACTTTGATTTAAAGTACTGCAATAAAGAAATTAAACATTATCTTAGAAGTTTTTATGTGACCACTTTTCATTGTCAGTATTTATCTTTTTTTAAAAAAAACTGTTAATGCTAAAGATAGCCACTTGGATGAAGCAGAGGATCTACTCAAAAAAGTATTAAAAGTATCTCTTACCTTGATTTTAATGTGTTTGAAACTTAAAAAAAGATGTCTATGAAAACAGTGTAAATCTTATACATAAATGGCAGTTTTCTCCCATGAACTGTTCAGAGCATCCAGTGATGGGAAGGTGCTTTAGTCCCTTCTAGGAAGGCTGGGCTTAAACTTGAGGACGCTCCTCCTCGTCCACGAGACTCCTCCTTAGCGTCCCCAGTTTTAGCTCAGCCTTTCTTCAGACAGGTTGTATTATTGTTTTCCTGGTCGGAACAGAACATTGGCGATTTAGCTGATTTAGCGGATTTATTTCTCAGGTCAGGTAATACCATAGTTTCTGTCACCAGCCACCCCCCTGGGAACCTCCAAAAGTCATTTCACTCGGTTTTTTGTTTTGTTTGTTTTTACGTTCTAGCCTCCCGAGGCTAAAGCCTCATAAACGGGGAGGCTTATCTTTCCAATCTGCCCTGAGACTAAAAGCCTCTCCTTTCAGAGGCATGCTGCCTTAAACTTCTAAACAAGGAGGCTTATCTCTCTGATCTCCCAGCCGGCTGAGTAAACGCTCTGTCCCTTCGAGGTTTGAAGCTTCCATTTAAAAGTGCAGCCTTTTTTCCTTTTTATTATGAGGCTTTCCCCGCAGAACACCTCAGGGCAGGGAATTAGCCCCTACACCTTCCCGCTGAACGGTTTTGCTTTCATCAGGCCAGGCGGTGATAGCTGCTTTCGTTTTCATTCTGCATTTTAAAG